TCCCAGCAGCGGCCGATGTGCTTCCCCAGGCGACGCGTGGCATTGCGAGCGCGGGACCACAGTGAAGCGATTTCATGCCCGTCCAGTCCGAATTCGCCATCCAGGGAACCGCTCAGGAAGGTGGCGGTGTCTTGGTTGAAGGGGGCTCTGCTGATCCGCTTCTTTGTTGAGTTATGGAGGGCGTTTGCTGCGATGTTCCTTACCATGGAGTCGGCACACGTCAGCAGGCGGAAGGCGTGGATGATCACTGCGATGTCACACAGGTCGCCCATGCGGGGGACATTGGCACCGCCATGCCTGTGGGCGATGTAGACCAGCTGGTTGCTGGCTCTCTGGGAAAGGAACAGCCACTTCTTCACCAGCTGCCGGATGATCTTGTCTGCCTTGTTGAGGGGTACCTTCGCCATGGCGGATCCCCTTAGGACAAACGAGATGCAGGGGATCAGGAAGGTGTTCAGGGCGTTTACCTTCTGCCACGATGCTAGCAGAGAGGCATCGATTTTGGCGGCACCCTGCAAGATCTCCTGGATGGTGTCCTTGGGTGTCTGCCGGACACGGAAACCCGTCGGCGTGCCAAGTGCTGGTACACCTGCCCCTCTGCCAGGGGGATGATGGGCTCGCCCTGGATCTGGAACCCTGTCGTCTGCACCGAGTCCCTTTTGATGCCATCGATGTGGAGAGTTGCGCGCTTCTTTGCATTGAAGCAGAGCCCCATCCAATCGGCAGCTCGACTGGTGGCATCTAGCATACATTGGAGGTTCTCTGGGTCCTCCGCGGTCAGGACCAGGTCATCCGCGTAAGCCAGGACGCTCACCCTCTCACCGTGGAGGTTGAAGCCATCTGTGCCATTGGAGATCGCTCGCAGCAACGGCTCCATGGCGAGGTTAAAGACAATGGGGCTGAGGGGACAGCCCTGCTTAACTCCGCTCCGGATCGGGATCTCGGCGGTCTCCCCTTCGACCGAGCGAATGGTGGTGCTGCATCCCTCGTACACCTCTCGGATCACATGAAGGAAGTTCTCTGGCATCTCAAACTCCTGGAGCGTGGCAAAGATGTGGTGGTGGGGCATGGACCCAAAGGCATTAGCCAGGTCGAGCCACGCTACCATATATTAACATCCAAACTCACCTCTAACTATAAGGCTTGGCAAAATAAAGTCATTTCACCTGCTATCTTGAGGTCCTCCCACTAACTTGCATGTATTTCACCCCATGAATCACAAGCCAGCCTTGAACCCACAACCTTGAGATACACAACACAGAACTCTACCAATTCTGCTGTGTGGAGTAGGGGGAATCATTATTTTTCTCTATAAAGAATAGGCCATAAAAGGACACAACACACACTTATCACACATTTTCTATTTACTTACTGGTTCACAACTATTTGTGCCCTAGCATTGGAGTGTTGGCTATCAGGATTCCTGGCCCTGGGAGCAGAGTGTGGTCTAGTGATTAAAGAGACTATAGGAAGTATTATATGACCCAAACAGGGTCATTCTGCCGGGATCAACAAGCATGCATTTTAACCATTTGAACTAAAAGGACAATAATGCTCATTAAATGCATGCAGGCAGTAGCAGACTCAAACCGTTAGATGTGGTCCAACCACACTGGTTACATCTCCACTGCAGCTGTGAGATGCAATTCCCAGCTCAGGAAGACGCGCTAGTTCTGCTCCAACTAGTGTACTAAAAATAGCATGTAGTTGACAGCATGGGTTAGCTGCCCAAATATGTACCTAGTATTTCCGACTGGATTGTACTCTGGCTAATAGCCTGAGCCGCCACCTGTGCCACAATGCTACTTTTAGCAAACTAGCATGTGTACATCTTCCCAAGCTGGGAATTACACCTCTCAGCTGCAGTGCAGAAATAGCCACTGTTTTAGGATTGGCTAGACAGACACACAATTTGGCCCAATTCACCTGAAATTGAAAGGCAGTGTGGAAAAGCTAATAAGCCTTGGGTCTGTCAAAATAGAGTCCAGGATTTTATTTGTAGCTTTGCCTAAAAAGAGCTTGTCTAGGCTCACACTTATCTGTAAAATGGGTTGTCTCCCCTAATTTAGGGGTAATGAGGTATTGGTTAATGAGGGGTGCAAAGTAGTATTAAACCCAATCATAAGAGGAGCTTGGATTAGAATGCATGGGCTCTTGGATTAGTAGCTCAGTACACCTTTCCCTAAGCTACAGGATCTTGCATGTGGGTAGGGTATCTCTCATCAAAAATGTGTGACTTTTTACCTGTTCTGTGGGAATGCATGACACTTGGCAGGTCTGTAAAAACATTTTAAAGAAACAGAATTTATCCTAATACTTGGAAAGTCCCTGATTTCCCATGCACTCGAATGGATGCTGTCTCTCTCCATCCTATAATAGCTCAAAACATTTAAGACGGCTGTTTTCTATTTGTTTAAAGACAGGTTTCAGAGTAGCACCGTGTTAGTCTGTATTCGCAAAAAGAAAAGGAGTACTTGTGGCACTTAGAGACTAACAAATTTATTTGAGCATAAGCTTTCATGAGCTATACAGCTCACTTCATTCGGATTCATTCAGGGAAAACTCACGAAAGCTTATGCTCAAATAAATTTGTTAGTCTCTAAGGTGCCACAAGTACTTCTTTTCTATTTGTTTAAACACTTTTTTCCCCATTAGTTAGTATTCTTTAATTATTTACTTTTATTTGTAATTAGACGTAGTGCTTTCTCTGAACCCTGTCCAGATTTAAATAGTGCTAACAAACTTAATAGGATTTTAAATGGGTAACACAGCTTATATCCAAAACATACATTTGTGTACCATGTTTTTAAAATGTAACATGCAGGGTAGTAAGCTGTTCTGACTAATGATTTAGGGCCTGATACTGCATACAGGTACCTTGAAGCCAATGAGAGGTTTACCACTGACCTCAGTGGTGCTCAATGGACCTGGACCAAATTGCATCCAACAGGACACCTGGCTTGGAAGATAGTTTTGCTTCAGACTATTCTCAGGAGACAAGTTAGCCTGGGGCCAGCATGGATGGGCACCAGGTTCTTTGTATTGATAAAGTGCTATCAGTGAATCTCTGCTCTCTATTAACCACACATCCAGCCCACAGCTCTCAATGCTGGGTATTCAGAGCTAACAGTGTTCCATCATCATACCCACTCACCGCCTGCAACAGCAGACAGGAATGAGCTAGATGATCTAATATTCCACCCCCCGTCTTTAATTTCTATTATTCTGTAACTCAAAGTCAAATGTCATGGGCCACAGATATTTATAAAAATAACATTAAAGTAATGTTGTTGTCATAATAATAGTTTGCCCTTCTGCGGGGGATTCCATCTGAGGATCATAACTTTATTAATATTAATTAATTAAGCCTTGCAAAACCCTTACACAGGATATTATTTTACATAATTGGGAAACCGAGGCACAGAAAAGTCAATTAAGGTGACAAAGCACGTCTATGGGAATAGAACCAAGGTTGTATAATTTCCTGGCCTGTACTTTAGCCACTCAACCATACTTTCTCTAATTTAATAATCCTAAAACTCTCAGGAGAACAACCCAGCTGGAAGAATTACCTACAACACTGTGTCACTTATTTTTTATCTTGTTTCAAAATATACACTGTTTTTCCTGATTCAATTCACTGTGAGTGACCCTGTAGTCTATAATAATAAAACATTGGTTGGTCTCAAGAATGGTAGATGAGGCAATTTGCTAAGGAAACATTTCAGTTTCAAGGCACCCAGAGAGTTGTTATAAACACCAAGTAAAATATGTATTACCACTATGAAAAACAACTCAACTGCATGTCTTCAAAACTGCCCTTTATATATAAGAGCAGCTGCCAAATTACATAAGGGATTTACTGGGAAAAATGTATTACTGCCAAAATGGACAAAAGTATGCATGCTAATAATTCCAAGCTCCTCCCAATTTTCTGTCAAGATCACACCACAAAGTAGCTCAAAAACTGACAACCAGAGACTGAGGGAGTAGGAGAGGCAGAAATACCTGCTGGTAAATGCCTGGAAAAAATGTTATTTTTAAAATCCAACAAGAGAGAGTGAAAAATGCCTGTGATCAAAAAATGCCAAAACAATTTGAAAAAAATCTTAATAGGTTGGTGGCAATTTCATAACAAGAAGAGAAACAGTGGCAGCACTTGGCTGGGTTTCAAGAGCCTCAGTTCCCCAGCAATGTAACGCAGAGAATCATGTAGCATTATCACTGATCAGCATGCTGGATTGTTCACAGGGTTTATGCGATTGAGTAAGGGGAAATAGCAGCTTCCTTTTAGTTAGGTCACTGAAGCCTTGCTTAAAACACCAGTCTGATGAGTGCTCAATGACTCCCATACACATTCCGAGACCACGGGACTGGAAGCATAGGTTGAATTGTGTATTTCTCCACGTCCACAGGCATGATATGTTGCTGTTTGCAGTACAGCAATACAGGAACAGGAGTAACTGAGGGGAAGTAACTTGAGCTCACATGAGCTGACCAGTGACTGGATGTTGTTGGAGGACTATGTTATCAAGTTGGTGTTTACCACGGAGTACAGTGGAGCTGAGAGCCTGATATCGCAGGCACTTATGCAACAAAGAGCCCTTTGGCTTAGATTAGGGCAGCCCTGTTTTCATTTTAACAGCCTTCATTTTAAATTAACGTAGTGCTGGTGAAACGTGCCAGATGGACAGCCCGGTGGAGACCCAGCCCCAGAAGTACAGTTGGGGCAGTGGAGGCCTCCCCTTTCTATTAGCCCACAACAAGGTTGCCCATCCCCAGGGTACCCATCCCCTGCTGCTATATCCCCAGCCCAGGCACATAGCACTTGTTCTCCAGCACCGCCAGGAGGCGCCGCTTCTAGATCAGCGACGCGGCTCGCTGGCGGCATCTGGACCCGCGGGCACGTGGGAAGCAGCGGGCTGTCCAGGGTGGGTCACTCGGCTCCGCGCAGCGTTCTGCGCAAGGACAGCCCTTAGTCTACCGCGGGGGGCGCCTACCTGGTTGGTGTCCTCCCCGTGCTCCAGTTGCACGATGCCCTGGCTCCTACCCTCCGTGTCGCTCAGCAGGTCGTCCTCGGAGTCCTCGAGGACGGACGAGGAGCCCGTGGAGGACAGCGAGGAGTTGGAGAGCCGGCGGGACTGCAGCAGGTGCAGTGAGCTGCCCGTTCCCAGCCAGCAGCTCTCCGGGTCCGCCGGGGGCCCTTTGGGGCTGCCCTGCGCCTCCTCGCTCTCCTCGGGGGTGACGGTCAGCTGCGGGATGACCGGCGGCAGCAGCCCGTTGCGGGGGCTGCAGCTCCTCTTGGCCAGGTCCGGCAGCTCCCGTGCGGCAGCGGCCGCGGCGCAGTGAGCCTCGAAGAACAAGCGTAGCTCCCCGACGCTCAGCCGCTTGCCCCTGCCCAGCTCCGGGCTGCTCTGCCGGCCCCAGCTAGAGTCCATGGTGGGGCCGGTGCGGGGCGCCTCCTGGGCGCCGCTGCGGAGCCGGGGGCTGTGCGTGTGCATGGGGGGAGCGCGGCGCTGCCGGGAGCCCGGCCGCCGCTGCACCCGGGCAAACTTCCTGCTGGCTGCGTCTGCCGCGCGGAGCCGGGGGCCGAGGAGCGCCCAGAGTCATGTCCCAGCCCGCCCGCCCTCGCCCGCAGGGAGGCTCCAAGCCGGAGCCGCCTATCGTGCCTCAGCCGGGGCCGCAGCCAGGTCCATCTGGGCTGGCTCAGCCCGCCCGCCGCAGCAGCAGCTGCTGCTGAGGGAAGCGTAGCCGCCGGAGGGAGGAGTCAGGCCCACGCCCGCTCCTGGCTGCGGCTTGGCCCCTTCATCTCTTTTGCTTTCAGTTTCCCCGGCGCCACCCAGAGACGCCTCGGGGGAGCCAGGCCCAGACCCAGGCCCGGCCGTGGCCTCGCGCAAGCGGGGTGGCAGCCCGGGCCAGTGCTGGCTCCGGGGCCCCAGGGCCACCGCTCGGCTTCCTCGCGGGCGCTGTTCACGTGGCCGCGCTGAGTGGCGCGTAGGGCTCCAGCCTCCATCTTCCGCGCTCCCCTACCCCGCTGAGAAGTTCCCCAGCCTGTGCTGTGCCCCAGGCGACGGGTCTCCATGGACGGCAGCCGCATGCACAGCCCCCTTTCTAGTCCTGGGTGGTTATCGCTCACCAGTGTGCCCCTCCTCTCACCGGCCCACAGCCTGGGGGCAAAACAACCAACAGAAACACCCTCCCATCTTCAAGAAACAGGGATGCCTTCCCCTTGTTCCCTACTCCCACTCCCCGCCTCAGGCCAAATCCTGCTCTCACGGGCCAAGGGGAGTTCAGGCTCCTTTCCCCCTTAGGAAATCCGTGACCTCATGGACAATGACAGGGTTGGTAGACCTGCCCCCCACAATCTTCCAGACACATATTTCAGTAGTTCAGTACATGCCCCTGGGCCCAATGCTGTACATTCGATAAGCTACCCCAATCCTGGAGCCCAATTCTGAACTTCCACAGACATCAATGGGAGTCAAGGGCTCTCAGCACCTTGCAGGAGCTGGTCCTGCTTTAATATTTAAACTGGTCTCTGCTAGGCAAATACTTGCTGACTGAGTTGCACAATGTTAATGGCCCTGTTACTCAGGCTGGCTGAATGTGCATCTGGTGTCCTGAGTGGGTGTTGCATTTTAGGGTTGAGCTGGATACTTTAGATTCTCACATATTTCGCTAGTCAAGCATTCAGTAGTAGCTTCCTCAGGCTGTTTTCTGATGCACTAGCATATTTCGTGTGTTGTGAAAGTTGCATAATATGTGGTTTGGTTTCATATGCACCTGAGCTTAGTTTGTATCACTATTTCACCTGCCAACCTGTACTTAGTTCAGTTTTTCTAATCCACATCCTATCAAGATACAATTCCATTCAGTAAAGGAGGGTACCCTGTTACATCAGAATCCTTCCTACCTCATTTACTTTGCCAGTTATCTCCCACTCTCTTTTGCTTACAATACATGAGATGACAATTTATGTCTTACATTGTAAGGCCTTTGGAGCAAGGAAGGCCTTACAGTAAGGTTATATCTCTGTAGAGTTGAGTAGTACAATGAATAATTTGGAGATCAAATGGTGACATCTTTAATCTGTTTTTGCTTTTTACTATTATTATTATTACTTATTATTATTATTATGACTTTAATAGGTTTCAGAGTAACAGCCGTGTTAGTCTGTATTTGCAAAAAGAAAAGGAGGACTTGTGGCACCTTAGAGACTAACCAATTTATTTGAGCATAAGCTTTCGTGAGCTGACTTTAATAACCATTGAAGTCAGCTTGAGGTTTTTCTCAGTAAGGACTTCAGAATTTGTTCTTTTTATTTCTCATGCACATGCAGAGAGAGAGAAATGTGACCAAGGAAGAGAGGCAAGGAGGCCTACTGGTGCCCATAAAATACCTCTCCCTAATCATCCAGAGGAGATCTTATTGAGTAATACAAAGCACTCCTCTGCTCTTCAAATGAGTGCACTATAACCAAATTGTTCCTTTTTCGGCCAACCTGGGGAACAGCAGCCCACATGTATTACTATTACTAACGTATTACTATTGATTCCACGTCTGGTTGATTTATCTGTTTTAGAAGTTAGGGATTTTACTATATAAAAGTGGCAACAGATCTGACAGAGAACCTCTAAGGCAGTGGTGGGCAGCCCGTGGGTCGCATGCAGCCCGTCAGGGTAATCCACTGGCGGGCCGCGAGACAGTTTGTTTACATTGACCGATTGCAAGCATGGCTGCCCGCAGCTCTCAGTGGCTGCAGTTCGCCCTTCCCGGCCAATGGGAGCTGCGGGAAGCAACACAGGCCGCAAGGACGTGTTGGCCGCCGCTTCCCACAGTTCCCATTGGCCGGGAATGGTGGCCACTGGGAGCTGCAGGCGGCCATGCCTGCGGACAGTCAATGTAAACAAACTCTCTCATGGCCCGTCAGCAGATTACCCTGATGGCCTGCAGGTTACCCACCACTTCTCTAAGGTGTGTCACAGGGGATGATAGCTGCTGGCAGGCTACATCTTGGTGATAAAGTGTGCAAGAAAATAAGACTGATTTAGCTGACTGTCTCAGAAACAAGCACAGGCCAAAATCAAGGAGTTTGTGAGCCGACATTCCCTTATGATGGAAATATAGATAGATGCACAACATTTTTAATTAATTTTTAAATGATGTTTTAGTACTCAGGAAGGTACCATATTGATATGCTTGCAGGCTCAGACTGATCCATAAGCCGAGTTGTACACGCTTAAATGATGGTATGATTTTATACTGATTTAGTTAAACTGGTGTGGTTCTGTGTGGATGCTCTTGAGTTAGCTTAAGCCTAGTTTATATCAGTCTGGCATGCATCAGAAAATTTACAGGTCCAGCTAAACCAATGTAACCAGTTCTAAACTGATGTAAGAGAGACCACGCACAGAAGTTGCATCCTTTTAACTAACCTGATTTAAGTTAAATCAGTGTGTAACTTGTGGTAATTCAGTGTTCTTCAGATCAACCAGTCAATGCGCCACAATCAGCCCTGCCTTCAGGGATCATCTTTGAGTGTGAGATGGTAATTCAATTTCCAGGCCCATGCAGCCCTTGACCTCTGCTGAAACTGTCAACAAGGCTGCTAGCTGTGATTATGTGTTCTGTGATGTGAACACCTGGCTGCCAGAAATTGTACTCAGACCACCAACTCATTTTACATAGGGTACCAAGCAGCCATCAGAGGGCACCCAGTTGGAGGAGCTATTGATCTGTGTTAGATTTTAACAAACATTATTTTTACAAAATCTTTAGAGCTAGGTTGAAGAGATAGAAGACTAGCAGAAGATACAAGAGATTCTCCCCTGATTCACACTATCACAACTTCATTAAGTAAATGTGCACTTTTTTTGAGGGGAGGGGGGTATTTCCCAACACAGGAACTTAATAATAATTAATAACACTTTGCACTTTAATAATACCTTCATCCATGGTTCCAAAGTGTTTTATGAACATTCATTAATGAAGTGTCACAACACTCCTAAAACTTCAGTATGCACTGTCCTTATTTTAATGCTGAGTAAACTGATATACAAAGAGATCAAATGCCTTGACTGAGGTCATGCTCATGCAGTGAGTCAGTGCCAGAGATGCAAACAAAACTAAGAATTCTGACTTCCAGTGTGCGGCTCTAACCATGAGATCACGCTCCCCACCCACTTGGGGTTTTAAGTTTTGTTCATTTCAGTCATTATGATTCATTTCAGAGCTATTTCTTACTGCTATGGTTTTCAGTTTCACAGAGTCCTGCTACAGAAGGAACTTTCTGCCTTTGTTTGAATTTGCAAAAAAATTGCCACTGCATCCCCATCAAACCCCTTTCTCAGTCTCATTACCTGCAATGTATTGTTTGCTTTTACTCCTTTCATTTTTTTTACTGCTATAAAAAATTGAAACACAGCATTTCATTGGAAAGATAACAAAGAAACCCCTCTTGGGCCTTGTCTAAACTAGGACAAAAGATGTACTGTTAGAGTTCCAACTAACACAATTGACAAATCTAATGTGGACAAGACACAACTTTTATTGTGTGCTAAACTGGTTGAGTTACCGCCTAGAGGAAAGCATTGGCTTTAACTCGACTAGTTTAGCACGTTAAACTATATGTACCACCTTGACTACATTAGAGTTCTCAAACATATTGATTAGGATATGTTTGCCAATGCTTTGTGACATCACATCTTTAAATCCTAGTCTACTTAGACTGTAATACAAATAAATTATAATAAATAAGACCCAAGAGGATCTGAAAAGTCACTGAGAATTTTAGTTCATCTCCATGCTAATTTTCCCCCTACTGTTACTCACACCTTCTTGTCAGCTGTTTGAAATGGGCCATCCTGATTATCAATACAAAAGTTTTTTTTCTCCTGATCATAGCTCCACCTTAATCGATTGCTGTATTGAGAGTTGATATGGCAACCCCCATTTTTTCATGTTCTCTGGGTATGTGTGTGTATATATGTATGTATATATATACCTACTGTATTTTCCACTGCATGTATCTGATGAAGTGGGCTTTAGCCCACGAAAGCTTATGTTCAAATAAATTTGTTAGTCTCTAAGGTGCCACAAGTACTTGTTCTTTCTGCTGATACAGACTAACAGACTACACTCTGAAACCAGTCCAGAGACAGTGTAAGGTTGCCCCCTGGTGGCTGGCATTGATTACGTTTCCAACTGGAAAGTAAAATCTTTTTTCTACACAGGCCAGGTGGACAGACTTGGGCTCGCACTACTGTGATAAAAGTAGCTGTGTAGACAGTGCTTTGGAGTTGTAACTCGTGCTCTGAAGCCCACCTCCCTCTCTAGCTTCAGAGCATGAGCCTCAGCCCAAGACCCATGAGCCCAAGTCTGTCAACCTGGGCTGGGAGCCTTGCTGCTGCAGGATGTGTAGACATACAGGGGTATTAATCTGGAGTAATTCTGTTGAAGTCAATGTAGTTATGCAGGTGAATAGCTGGTGTATGTGAGAAGAGAATCAGGCAGCAGAACACCCAGCCAGTCTGAGTTGGGAGAGGGGAACTACACAACAAAAATTTTAACTCAAGGGGTGGGGGCTCAGCTCACAAAGTTTGAAAACCACCCAGGGTACAGGGAGAGGATAGCTTAGAGCTGTGTGCAGTGAGGGGTGTAGCTCAGGGTGCAGGGAGAAGGTAGCTAGGGGCTGTGTGCAGGGAGGGAGTAGGTCAGGGTACAGGGAAGGGGTAGCTAGGGGCTGTGTGCAGCGAGGGA